AAAATCAATGAAAACATCTCCTCAGGTGAGGATTTAAAATAATTATAATAATAAAATTGCACTCACTTCAACATTTTTAGTTTTGGGGCCCCCTTAATCACCTTCATTAGTATTCACCAAATTTGCAATTATATTGTCTACTAATTACCTGCTTTTTTCTATTTCTGTCTCTTCGCTAGAATGTAAGCTCCATGAGGGCAGGACCCAATCATTTCTGTCTCATTCACTACTGTATCCTTGGAATTTAGCACAGGGCCTGTCACAGAGCATACACTCAATAAATATTTGTTGATTGAACGAATAGCTCTTTCTTAAGAGTACCTCAGAGGCTGGGAGGAAGATGTAAACAAATAATTGCAATATAGTGTTGGGGTAATAATATGCACAGATTGCTGTGGGCACGTTAGACTAGGAGCATTACAGCATAGTGGTTAGGAGCAGTTACACTAAAGTGAGATGGCCAAGGTTCAATTCTAGTTCTGCCATATACTCATTGGGTGATATTGGTTGACTTACTTTTTTAAAAGAAGATAATATTTTTTAATTATTGATCTTAGAGAGAGGAAGGAAGGGAGAGAGAGAAAAACATCAATCAGTTGCCTTTCACATGCACTTGGCAACCCTGGGCATGTGCCCTGACAGGGAATCAAACCTGCCACATTTCAGTGCACTGGATGATGCTCCAGCCAACTGAATCACACCTGCCAGGGCCATTGGGTGACTTTACTAACTTCTCTACACCTTATTATACACAGGTAAATAAGTATTCTAGTAATAACCATGTCATGGATTTTTTTGTGAGAATTAAATGGGATACTGCATATAAAGGGCCTGTCATCTACTAATGCACAGCAAATGTTTGCTATTATTATTATTAAAGGAAGATTGTGGCTCTTTAAGAGCACTATTCAAAACTTACATGTGTCCTAGCTGGTTTGGCTCAGGGGTTAGAGTGTCAGCCCGCTGACCGAAGGGTCTTGGGTTTGATTCTGGCCAACGGCACATACCAATCAATGTGCCTCTCTCACACTGATGTTTCTTGCTCTCTCCCTTCCACTCTCTCTGTAAAGCAATGGAAAAAAATAGCCCCAGGTGGGGATTAAAAACAAACAAACAAGCAAACAAACAAACTTAACCTGTGTTAAGATATGCAGAATGAAAACAATCCTGGCCTCCTTAAGGTCAGAATTAACTTTTCTAAAGAAAGTAGTCCTCCCTTTTATTTATCTTACCAAGATTTCTATATCTTTCCTCTTTGTAAGAAAGGTAGTTGATCCTGGTCCTGCGTGGCTCAGCGGTTGAGCATCAACCTAGGATCCAAGAGATGGAGGTTCAATTCCCAGTTAGGGCACATACCCCATTGCAGGCTCGATCCCCAGTAGGGGGCGTGCAGAAGGCAGCTGATCAATGACTCTTATCATTGTTGCTTTTATCTCTCTCTCTCCATCTCCCTTCCTCTCTCTGACATCAATAAAGATATATTTTTTTAAAAAGAAAGGTAATCGATTCTTCAGTAGAGCCTTTGTTGTAGAGTACCATGTGATGCTACAAAGACTGAGGGTAAATATCCTGTTTTCTTCACCACCAGAGGGCACCAATTAGTCAAGTCAATCTCTGCTTGCCATTATGGAACAATATGAGAAAGCACTAGTAAGCTGTTTCTGTCCTTCATTCTTTTTTCTTCAGTGGATTTTAGAGAGAGGGAGAGAGAGAATATCGATGTGAGAGAGAAACATCAATTGGTTGCTTTCCGTACACGCCACCGGAAATCAAACCTGCTAACATGTGCCCCTTCGATGCATGGGCTGCCATTCATTCTTTTGACAAATTTTTTGAGTACCTACTATTTGCCAAACATTGTAGATTACATATGGTTATGAACAAGATCTGTTGTCCTTACAGAATTTATAATCTTGAGCCCCTACTATGTGTCTGAGAGATCCTATTAGACATGGAGGTGGAAGGTGGGGTTCAATTTGTGATTTGTTGTTGTAGTTAATGATCGTCTTCCTGCCTTTGGTTGTGAGCCCATGAGAACAATTACTTAGTGTCTACTTGGTGTCAGATAGTATGTTGGTTGCTCAGGATCCAGGGATGAATAAGACAGTTTCGACCTACTAATAAACAGTGCTTTAACCTGCTAAGATTAAAGACATGAGGCAAGTTCTGTGGAATTTTAGTTCCTCTGACCTAAGGATGGAGAACCTTAAGGAAACAACTCATTAATACACTCGGCTGTGAGCCTCCCAAACAGGTGTATGTTTATTAGTCATCCATCTTACAGCCATGGACACTATGGATATTTAGTATGAGTTTGTAAGTTAGTCTGAGCCCAGGGAGCAGCTTCTGGTCTGGGTGCCAGGTGTGTGTTCCAGTGTATTACTAAGGATCTACCATCTTCTGGGTCAGGGTGGGGCTATGATGAGTTTATGTGGGTGCAATGCTTTGAAGATGAACTTTCTGCCTATTTGTCTACTCATAGTCTTGTTATTAAAGGTGTCAACATCATCTCCCACGTTTCCAGGTCAGCAATCTTCTTGTCCCTAAATTGAGTGGTGGAAGAGAGGAAGCCAGAACCAGTCATACACCATCATTTTGGGAGGAGTGGCTGCATTGACTCAAATACTCCCCCTCCTCTGAAGTGAGTTCTAATTCCAGTGGAGTTTGGCTTCAAGACCTACAGAGTTGGGAGCTAGAGAATGATTCTTTAAAATACTGAGACCTCATCTCTGAGAAAAAATAAAGGGGCTCTTCCTGTGTGGATTGTGCACAGTGACTTCCTTTTAAAGAGTACAATATTGAAAGGAAATAAAAAGAGTAACTTTATAGTGGAAAAACCTGACACACTACCTCAGCCAGGTGATTGAGGTCAATATCAACACTGATGTCATGTTGATATTATGTGCCCTTGATATAATATGATGAAAATGTCATTTTACCTCTGTGATTCCCTGCCCCCCCCAAGCTCCATGACCCAAGTTTAATCATGAAAAAAACATGACACATCCTGGGGGACATCCTATAACTACTTGACTAGTACTCTTTAAAACTGTCAAGGTCCATCAAAAACAAGTCTTGACTTTAGTTAATAATAATATACCAATATTGATTCAATAATTGTAATACTATACTAATGTAAGATGTTAATAATAGGGGAAATTGGGTGCCTATGGAAAAATATGGGAACTCTATACAATCTCAATTTTTCTATAATCTAAAACTGTTGTTAAAAAAAAGGTCTATTAAATAATGGAGGGGGTTGTATCCAGAATAGAGCTATGCCTTTAAATTATTTTTTCTTTCTTTCAAGTTCCCATTTATGGATCATTTACAATGCACCAGTCATTGTACTAAACCTTGTAAATGATCTCATTTAATCTTTACAATTGCTTATGTTAGGTGTAATTAAGCCTCTTTTACAGAAGCTGATGAAAAAGGAAGAGATAATATAATGTATATGGTGGAGCCAGGGTTGGAACCAAGGATCATTCTGATCCCCAAATTCTAAGTGTGTGGCACTCTCACAGTAGCCTGGCTTTTCAAGGAAACATTACCATAGTACATGCCTTAAGAGAAAAGGATATTCTATCTAAAGAGTGGGTATTAAAGATTGTCTCCACATTTCACTTCAGTCATAATTATCTTAAAAGTCTCTCAGTTCCAGGTTGGACCTTCAAGCTGAAAGGATCTGTAGGGGGTCAAAGTTCACCCACAGTACTTCATTTTACAAATGGGTAAACTGAGGGATACCCAGAGCACCTGCCCCAAATCACAGAGAAGCGCCAGTAAACAGGTTCAGTCAGTTTTATTATTCCTCTATTTCCCATAGCTTCCTCTTTGTAGTTAAGAGGGGAAGTAGAAGCTGACCCATTTGCCTTCCTCATTTCTCGATGGAAACTGGCCCCACTCACCACCGCCCCCCCCATGTGTGACACATTGTCCTCCAAGTACACACTGTGCTGAGGGCTGAACCTGCAGAAGAGATGTCGGGACACTTGTTCCCACCGATAGGCCCACTTTTTCGATACATTCCTGTCAAGCACCTACTGAGTGCAGGACTTCGGGCTGTGTGTCTAGGCGAGGGGCCTGCTGAGGACCAGGTCTCTCCTGGGAGGAAGGCTAAGGAGGCCTGTGGATACACACAGAGGGAGGAGGTCGCTGATGGCTCTAGGACCAGAGGGTCCTTCCTCGGCGCGCCTTGGGAACCAGGGTGTCGAGCCGCACAATCATCTTTTTGGGGCGAAGTGCATCCCTTTCAGCCCCCCAGCCGCTTGGCTCTTTAAGGGCGGGGAACTAGCGCCAGCGTCACAAAGCGCCGCCACCAAGTTGGGCGGCGGAGAGGAGGCGGGGAAGTGGGAGGAGGACGACGACTACGACGAGGAGGGCGGAGGAGGGAGGGGCGCGCGCACGCGCACTCGCGTCGGGCAGCCACTAGCCGAGAGCTGCCCCCCTCCTGGCGCGCGCCCCTCCTCCATCTCTCCCTCCCTCCTTCTTCTGGGCTCCGTCGCTCCCGCGGCGAGAGGCGCTCTCTCTTCACCACCACCTCCT